ACACGCGATTTCAAATCAATACAACCCAGTGCAGAAGTCAACAATATTATGAGTGGACCGAAGACACCAAACGAGACCAATCCCATACGTGTTTGAAAACTTTTACGCGGGGTTTTCTCTTAGTATATGTAAATGGATTCTTTAGATCGATTAGGTGAGAGTATTAGGCATCGCGTCACACTCGAACTATTTGACAACCAGCAAAAATAACACGTTTCCAAAAGTTTTGAATGTTTTGACAGCAAGTATGTGATAATTTGTGGAAAATGACAGGGTGAGAACGGCGACAGGACCATCCTAGCTAACCTGTTTTCCTCTTGTATCGCGGTTGTTTGACAAACAAGTGACTACGATCGAACAAGCACAACTGACGCCTGAGTTTCTCTGAGTGTTCCTAGACAAGACGACAGAAGTTTGCGGTGTCGAAGTTCGCTCCACGGTTGCGCAATGCGAATTATTGACAGAATAGAAACAGGGAGTTCCATTCACAATTCGAGCATGCCGCGCGGACGCCACAGCATCGTGTCGTGATGCCACAAGCGTGAGAGACATGCAAGACGCGAGGAGTCAAACATAAGGTGAAGCATGCATGTGCCAGTGCGCAACGAGAAGTAACAGCACGATGTGCTATCGACGGGATCGAAAACAACAATGGTGTGTGCTCAAGAATTCGGTATATTCCCATCATTGAAAAAATAACCGACAAAGAGAAAAATAATAATAATAATAACAGGTCTATTCATATATCCGACTGTTCCTCCACCTCGGGCCCCTCCGGGAGGAATAGAAATAGAAAGGCAAAGCGGGTGTGGGAACTGGTTCAGTACCATGAGACCGTTCTGAAACTACCGATCAAGCTTCCGTTAGAAACCGATTCGGATAGAAGCGCAAGCCGGCCACACTGTCATCGCGACAGGCTAGGCCGGCTTCTTCAACAGCCAACAGACGCTCACGAGCGAGGAGCAGTGGAACTCCAGTAAATCGAGCCAATTCGTCCGCGGTAAGGCTGGAGCGTTCCTCAATTATGCGGGCTGTGGATTCCAGAGTTCGACTCTCGTTCTCAGTGGCCAGTTGCAATACCTATCGGATGAAACGAGAAGATGAAATGTTTAACTTTTATGCAACATTAAATCTGATTGTTAATTTCAAAAGTCACTTGAATATTTTGAGCAAGCAAGACAGCCTTGAGAATATCTCTGCTCCTAGTTGCCCGTGCGTGGCGGCTTCGTCGAAATGCCGCCTTAAAGTATATGTTCATAAAGTTTCATTGCAGTTCTGTCGAAGCTTTTGTCAAGGACGCACCTACGTTCTTCGCACAATCAAATGTAGACCGCAACGCACCGGCGGGTTGGATGCTAGTAGCTCTCAAGAAGCTTATATGACGAGGAGTTGAATCAGAAATCCATGCCTCTATTCGTTAAACGGTAGCAGTACCCACTGGGCTGGTAGAGTTTTGACTAGCAAACGATCTTTCCGCAACAAAATAAGACCCATCGTGAAGGAACCCGCAACGTGAAATGGCGAACCACATAATGCAAATTAACGCATAGTAATTAAACTATACGGTAGATTTGGTCCGCCTACTGTGACAGAGTTGTAAAAACAATTTTTAGCACGATTTTTCTAATTTCACACTATCAATGGTCTTTTTATCAGTTTTCTATAGGAATCATCGCCAGCAATTATTCTCAACACTGTCTTAACAGCGAAATAAAGTGAAGGAAACTGGGCTGATCACTACCAAGCTAGATAGAGAGTGAGCCAGTTTTGAGGGATGGGGAAAGTAAACCTCTACTGTCAACACAGAGCACCAAGTCGAACAGTGTAAACAAACCACTCAAGCATTCTGGTCGGATAAGAAGTGATAGCTAGAACATCACTGCTGTCAGTTTGCTGTCACGCTCTTCAGTGTCTCCAGTAAACCGGTTACAATCTTTTGGATCCCAACCTGGAATACCGGATGCACTTACTCTGCCAGTTTAGTTTCAGTTTACACAACCATGAATCATATACTTTGGTGGGGCGACTTTGGTTGTTATCTTTAGGCCGCTCATTTAGATAAGAGCAAAAGTAAGGCTGGAATGTTGAGGATAGAGTCAAAGAGAAAACAGAGGATTCATACAGATCAAGATTGTCAGAATAATGAGTAGATGCCCGAGCACCACTGTTTTTTTTTATTATTGCACGACTAAGTGTGATGAACAGTAGACGGGGCGAACCCCATAGTCACTAGGACCTGCTGTTCAGTGGTGGAAACCGGCAATCTAAGCCCCGGGACTTGGAGTGGCGAACCACATAAGGCCCCGCTAGGTTAGGTGTGGTATTGAACCGGACGACAGCACAGCTGCCTACCACCAAACTGGCGGTGGCGGGGCTCCGACAGGACCACAGGGTCCAAAGCACATCGGTGACAGCAACTAAACCACTGCGCAAAGACAATATCGCTCAGTGTCTCTAACCGACGGTTACGATAGCCCGAAGTCCCTATCCAGGGAACCGAGCGCGACCTATATGACCGAGTCTCCTGGTTAGGGTTTTCATACCTTCATACCATGTCGTAGTTTGACCGCCCTAGACTTTTTTCCATTCACTAGTTGCCTCGGCAAACATTGTACGCAGTGAAGATCTATTTGGTGATATATGCAACGCATAATCCCAACCAATGTAACCAATGGAAATCAGCTACTTATCCCAGTGGGCGACCAGGGTTATCTAACACTGTCGCTAACCTCAGCATTACTCGTTCGGTTTCCCTACCAGATTCGTGCAATGCAGCGTAGACAGCGGTGTACAAACACCAGCACCTATTATACCTAATCGCTTTGTGAATCTCTTTACGTTTCGCCTACACATCATCTGTTGACTTGTATGTGCTTTCTTTCAGCCTTAGCAACAAAAACGAACGAGGGGCTGTACGGTCGATGACAGGCAAGTATGTGTAATGTGTCATAACTAGAGAAGCCTACAAATCGGAGTTCCATGTGATAACGGAAGTTACACCGAATCATTCCAAATTCACAGCCTCTGACCTCAGCTCCTTGTACATCCGATGGCTTCATCTTAATTGCGCCAAACGAGGTAAAGATGGATAGTTGAAAATCTGCAGGTAGTGGTTGTTTTTCGTGTGCAAACTTGGGGCAGACTTCGCCGCACAGTGACGTAATTTATGTGACCTTTCAATCTCTCAGAAACGTCACCTCGGTGAAAAACGTGTTACAGTCGTTTGTACGCCACTCGAGCTTGTAGAATACAGGGGGTTACCTTCCTTGCTATGTGACCGTCATTTAGCATGCAACTACCTAAGCAGGAGAGACAAACAACTACAATTAACTCCAGACCATAAATCATCAGTCACTTAGCAATTCGGAGGTGTAAAGCTGTATAATCATCGTCATCATTGTACAGAGAGATACAGAGAAGTAAACTTCGCCGATCCCTGCCACGCTCTGAATGCACACAAAATGAGCAAGAAAGCACAAAATGGATAGGGTTTGGGGCCTAAATGGAAGGAGGCAAAGAAATTGAATCTCTATGGTCAACACACAGAGTACACAATCTAACTGTGGCTGTACAAACTGAACTGAACTGTGCATACATACTGTTTCCAGTATTCTGGCCCGATAAGAAATAACAAGAACACTACTGCTGTGGGTTAGTTGCCACATCCTTCAGTGTCTCCAACCAGCCAGTTGCAGTCTTTTGGACCCCAAACTGGAAGACGGGAGACACCGATTCTACCTAATCACTCCGTACATTTCGTCATGCCTCATTTCCAAGTCATCCATTGACCTCCACCTGATTTCCTCCAACCTGGGGCCGCAACTACGAATAAGGCGCGGTGCGGTAGAAGACAGCTGTACATAGGCAACACGTGTCCTAGCCAACGAAGCCAACTCATCTGAATTCTACGTGATAATGAATATTCCACCCAATCATTACCAAATACGCGACGACTTACCTCCGAGTTGCTTCCACATTCGCTCCATCCAACCCGCACCAAACAACGCAAACATCGGCAGTTGAAGACTTGTAGGCGACAAATGTCTTCCACGCGCAAATTAAGGCTCTCGTAACCATAAGGCAGAACTGACCGCATACTGGAGCAGTATAGACGACCTTTCAGTTTCAACGAAACATTAGTCCTGTGTAAACTGCTCGAGCCTTAGAAATGCGGGGCGGTTACTTCCTTGACTACGCTGTTGTCATTTGTCGCGCAACTACCTACGTAGGAGAAGCAATCATCTACAAGAAATTCTTCACTATCAAGTGTCAGAGTCGGAGCAGACGATACCCGATCTTTGCATGGTGAATGTGCAAAGCGCATACCAAATGGAGTTACGAAACTTGAAAGTCTGTCAAGAGCGCTTTGCATTCGAACTGTGTCGTTAGTGTATTCTGATCACACAACTTTTCTTCATCTGTCCATTTAAAACCAACATTTTGGAGACCACGTAGTGCGCACTCCAGTACTTCGTCTACGACGTCATGGAACGGGAATGGCGAAACAGGGCACTCTTGGCGAACACCACATCCGGATTTCGAACCGCACAGTAAATGAAATAACGGAACATGTTAACCTGTCTAGTGCACTTTGAGTGTCCTCCATATATCCAAAGGGGGTTAACGACGTACTCAGAGCCCGTTCCATAGCAACATTTTGGAGACCGCTTAATGCGTTGTCCAGTATTTTGTAAACGATGAAACCAAACGGCTTTCGCGAGTTGATGTCGTTCCTACCTTGTTCCTGGCGGATTGTGATCTTTGATTTTTGGTTCATCAGGTCTTCTGACTTCTGAAAGATTTAATGTATGGTCCCATCGCTCACATCATATGCCCTTTATACGAGGCTAATACAGTTGAAGTATCCAATCAACCCCATTGTCCAATGGAGTCGGTGACTGGACATCTATTAATCCTGAAGGCGGTTTATATGTCCTAGCACAGCTGGTTAGGAATCGGGGTTTGATAACTCCCCCAGTCGATATGATTATCAATGATACAACCCCGGAAGTCGTTTTTCACCTTCTTAGTTCAGTGAAAGCACTATAGGTGGTGGTGGCCCGGTGGTAACGTCAACAAATGATCACCCTGGGGATGTGTTCGAACCCCACCACCACCACCTGACTTTTCCCTTCGTGTTGAATGGCAGCCCTTTGTTTGGCCGCTTCCTCCTTCCTGAAATTTGTAGCATTGCATATTGAACAAGAGGAAGTAAAATAAATAGATAAAAGATATGGACAGAAGATCAAGAAGGACATCAATGTGACTTCAAATCAGTGAGAATTATCGACCAAGCCCGGTCCAAACACGCCAGAGAATTCCTCAAGGTCTGGCACTCTTCAATCAGCTCAATAAACAGGCACATCGAACTGGATCACGTGTACACACCAATGCAACTCAAGGACCACATGACGCAAGAAAAAAGGTCACGTCGTAACCTGAGAACGGACGGAAACCGCAATCAGGACGAAAGGACAACCCCTTCCCTCCCACCCTCACCCCTTCGCACCAGTTCCACGGCGAACCGAGTAGAACACAGTGAAAACAGGGGACGAAAACAGTCGGTGGAGAAGAACACATATAGATGAATGGGTACAAGCAGAGCACTGCCACTTCACAAGCACTGATGATGTCTGGTGGCTGATGGCTGGTGATGAAACGCTTGCAAACAAATTGCCAAGCTCGGTGAACAGGCGCGATAGAAGCAGGACTTCCCCAGAAGCAGGCTACGCACGCAGATTATCAAGAGACTCTCCAAAAGGAGGTGAAGATGATTAAATTCTTTTACCGAAACATTCATCCCCGGCCCCTGTGGAGCGCTTGGTGATCAAATTATATCGAAAATTAAATGGCCACAAAGGTTGATTAGGTTACCAGAAATTTATAAGTCCACTCCGCCAATTTCGGTCGTAGTGGTCGAGAAGTTAAGGCCATCATAGCCGTGGACTGGAGGAAATGTGTTCAAACTCCATCATCGTAAACCATATTTACCAATTCTGCATTTCCCTAACCAGTCTTTCATTGACCACAGACTTAAAAATTAACTAAACAATAGTATATTCAATTTTTAAAAAAAGAAATCAACAACAACATTCCTCGGTCTTCGAAACTGAAAACCCCAAGTCCTAGAATAGTAAACCAAAATAAGACCTCAATAGGACAGCCCTGGATGACAGAATTGAGAGTGTATTGATACACATCCCGAGGGTTCCAAAAAACTGAACCTCATCTGGTCTGTACCCGTTCACCGTTCGAAGATGGTCAAATTTTCTATATTTTGCTGAATACCTCACCTATCAATCTTGGACAGATTATCAAAGGAACTTGAAAAACTGTTATTCCGTAGCTTTTATTGAGGATTTTGCTGCCGCACGGTCGCCCGAAAATAGATCAACCAATGTTAAAAGAGAGAAGTGGAGGATTTGGTGTGATCAAACGGGGAATTTTTTCGTGTAAAGAGCAAATGAAACATGAACTGAAAAGCTAGAAACCATTGGGTAGCTGATTCGACCCGATTATGTCTCACCAGCAGCGCGAATCTACCGACCCAATTAGGGATCGAACCCGGAACCTCATAGGCAGAACATAAACATACCATCCACTCGGCCGCCAGGTATCTGATCGAATCGCTTTTTCCCTTTCCTTAAAATGGGTGTGAAAATCGTCAACAGAAGCATACGCACATAAGTAATCGGTTTACCCAAATCGTGCAGATCTTAACGTACCAGTAAGCCACTAGGAAATCGTTTGAGTCGTATGGGCAAGTGCTCACGCTCCAGAAGACAACATGCACGAAGCAGATCCTCTGGAGAGACCAACTGCATTCCGCGAGCTCGATTCAAACGGCAATAAGCTGAAGCCAAATCGATACAACCCGTCCCGGAGGATCCACGTGGATTGCTCAGTAGCGGGGTCAACAAATCAGAAAGCTGTTTGGCCAGTTGTGTATGAAACGACGAGGAAGACTTGCCCATGTAAACAGCCGCAGAGTTGGAGGACGCGCGAGAATCGGCTATTACCGAGTCGTCCATCACACCCATGGAAAGCATGGCAGCACGCAGTTCGGCCGTCTCGTTCGTAGTTAAGTCGCCACCCTATAAGAGTATTCAAACAGAGAGAGCATTTGCGTACCATAGCATATAAAACAAGTAGACCAGAAGGATTACATCGCTATGATAATTATACATATACTTACTTTCACCTCCTGTGATCGTTTGGCCAGAGTGCGACTCAAAGCGACCATTTCGCGGGCACGACTCATCAATTTGTTCAAGTCATCGAATGCTTCCTCTAAACTCTGATCCGTGCGAACAATACGCGCTGCTTGTTGTTTCTCAATCGCCCCGATACCCACACTGCCGTACGATCGAGATGAATGACCCGGACGAGTAGGTCGTACCGAAGCGGCCCAAACTTTGGCCTAGGGGCATTCAAACAGACGGGAAAAGGGAGGAAAGACAAGACAGATAAACAGAAAAAGCACCGCTCTGTTTAAATGATAATTGTTTGCCAATCGGTCAATTTTCATTGCACATCTAACCAGACCTAGATATGATGAGTCGATTGATAGCTTTAAAATCGGACCAGTGCTTGATTACGTGGACTTAATCGACTTGTAAAGAATACCTACATTTAGGATGTAAAAACACATGCATACAAACGTAAACTATACATTTTTTCGTAATGGTTAAGTTTCCGCAGCAGAACTGGCAGAATCTCTGTAGCATTCATTCAACCGTTCGCAGGTAGTTGGATATCGTGAAGGCACTAAAGATGTCTGTAGTTGGAAAATGACAATAGAGTCGTTCAACGTATTCTACCTCATCTGAATCAGTACGTTTTATCCTTCTGCGCACGGATGAAGCAACTGCGATCAAAAAGGATGCAATCAGAAGCGATTCGTCTAGACATTACCTCTAACTTGGCTAGTAGTCAAGCGACAGACCGATGCGAACGGGGGGACTGGGGGAACGTCATAACCAAGGGGAAGTTCAATCTAATTGCTGACGCATGAAGGATCGATTTCCTCATTATCATTATCATCATCGTACAGCGAGATACAGTGAAGCGAACTTCACTGATCGCTGCCAAGCTCACAATGTACACAAATCAAGTGATAGACCACAAGATGGGGAGGGGTTTGGTCTAATTGGAGGTAGGCAAAGAAAGTGAATCTCTATGGTCAACACAGAGTACACAATCTAAGTGTGCATTCATACCTTTTCAAGCATTCTGAACTGATAAGAAATGATAACAAGAACGCCACTGCTGTCGGTTAGTCGCCATATCATTCAGTGTCTCCAACCGGCCAGTTGCAGTCTTTTAGACCCCAAACTGGAAGACGGAAGACACCGATTCTACCTAATCGCTCTGTGCATTTCTTCATGCCTCGTTTCCACGTCATCAGCAACTGCGAATAAGGCGCGGTGCGGTAGACGATATCTGGGCATGCGCAATACGTATCGTAGCCAGCGAAGCCGACTAAGCTGAATTCGATGGGACAGCGAATTCTCCATCGAATCATTACCAAAAACGCCCTGTACATACGGTAATAAGATCCACCTCGCACAGGGTCAAACAATATTAAATGCTCTACCCATATGAATGAGAATGGCCAGTTGATGAATTTAGCGAAAGACAACTTGTTTCGCCTAACGGATTTTATTTTCAATGTTGCCGTAATTCGCTTGCCCCTGATGTGAATCCAACCACAAAACTATTAGTTGTATTTTAGGTGGTGGATCCAAGACAGGTTGCCCACAAATAATCACTATGATGATTCGTTGATGATGATCATGCATTGTGGGGTAAGTTTATCTGGCTTCAGAGATTATCTAAATAATATACAAAGAATGTTTCCTAACTTTAACTTTTCATGGGGCGAGTAAGGCAATCAGGAAAGTTCAAGTCGAATCTCGAAAAAGCGGAATGTCTGACAAATATGTTACTTATAGATGGAGAAAGGAGAAGAATGACGAAAGTGCTAATAACAGTTACGGATACCATTCACTGATTGAAAGGGTTCGTTCACTTACTACAAGAACCTCTTGTAAAGCCTGTTCAAACTCCCGGTGACCAGTTCGAGTGAAACCCAATTTAATATGATTCTCTGAAGACTGAGCAACCACACTGTACATGGAACTCCGACCATCTTGGGATCTTCGATCGCTTTCACTTAACCAGCGCTCGGTCCAGGGTAGAGGATGCGGGAGGCTAGTCAGTGCATTGTGTAACGCAGCCGGGGTCAACAGGCGAACCACGATTTTGGGTGTACGACTACGAACCAGCCCACCGCCTTCCTCCACTCGGACATTGAGCACCGCTGCCAGTGGGAGAGCCAGAAACGCAGTGTCCTCATAGGCATCCGAACGTGTCCAAATAAGACGATGCGTAGTCAATTTAATCACTCCATTTTCGAACGAAGTGCGATTCGGACCATCATACAAACGAATACCAGATTGTTGAAGCACTACAGATTCCTCATCCGCGCCACCACCCCCGCCAAATCCGCGATGCTCTACTTCATCTGAGCACCAACGGAAACGATCCATTAGACTGAAGTCATGCGGTTGCGCATGGAGCAGGCTGAATGAACAGGCGGTACGGCACTGATAGTAGAACGTCTTAACTGAATATATGCCTATGTGTATGCAAAATACGTAGAACTTTGATGTGCAATCGGGGTTTAGGACACGTAATCAACCGAATAAAATGCAACGTTGGCTCCTCACAAATGTAATCAGGTAGATAAACACTTTCCGATACATCAAGCATTTAATTGGTTTCACCTGAAAATAACTTGTTATAAGTGTAATTTAAATATGATGGAAATGTTTGTGATAACCGACAAAGAGCACTGGAGAGCTGTTACGTCGTTTGGAACTCGTCAGCAATGCGTACTTTTTGTGTCCCTGTCGGGGCTCGAACCGCGAGCATTCAGGTTGGAACTTCAAACCCTTACCCCTCACCTAAACGATCAACGGTCATCACCTTGTGCGATTGGTTCAATCAATTTTAGAGTATCAAGCTTGGATTAGTCCATTCGTCCCCAACAGCTATCCAGTGCCCTTTATCGGTTATCACAAACAGTTCCATCGCAAATTAAATATTAGTGAGAAGCTTTGTCCAATCGGCCTTTGGTGTCTGAAAATAAAAATCTACGATGGTGATAGCATAACGTGCCTCTGGAAAGCAAAATGGGCTAATCCAAGCTTGATACTCTAAAAATAATGAGTAGAAGCTTGTGCACAAAAAATCTTCCCAGTCACCATTACATTTAAGTCTCATTGTGGAGTACACACATCAAGCTGTTCGACTGAGTAATACAAGAAACTGCACTCATTTGGATTTCCTGAGGCATCGGTCATGACGGAGAGCAATTAAGCAAACACAATGCCAGAAAACCATTCCATTTCATACACAAGTAGTCATCAAGCGGTTCCAGTTGCTTACACTGACGTACATCAGACCCTGAAGTTCAAAGGTAGAAACTCAATACGGTAACCTCAATCTGATGTTAGGCAGTTCATTTGGCGTCTGGCGTAACACCAAGCCCGAAAAATCGAGGCCAAAGGTGGTTTACCACCTGCATATCAGAGAGTAGTCGAGATTATCAGTGCTGACTGATGGACTGAGTTCTCGCGACTGTTTGGACTTTTAACCAGTTAACTGTATGTATCAAGTCAAAGCCAACAGAGTGAATGAGCATCAAGATGACGAGAACCGTTAATGAGGGGAAAAAGCGGCAAACAAAACAGAAATACGGAATGCCAAACTGCATTATGCTCTAAAAGGGAAAGGTGCATCTTCCCGGCGTTTGTATAAAAACAGAAGCTGATGAATCACTACCGGTAGCCAAACAGATGCTATCTTAAATTACTAAGCCATTTAGTGCAAACCAGAAAATATAACCAGATAACACAAAACAAATCGGCAAACTCATACAGCCGAATGAGAAAAACAAAAACGGAAATCAACTAACCAGTGAGCAAGAAAAAAAATGCTTCAATCCGTGTGCGAAAAACTGAAAAAAGATGTCACTAGATGTGAGCCCTGGACCACATCGCTAAAGTAACCCAAGAATACAGTAAGAAAGTGGTTCGAGACCAGACAGAACGTGACAACAGGAAAAAACAAAACGCGGTGGGAAAAGTACTCTTTGTATTATTTCATCATAGAATATATATTAGCAATAGACAAATTAGATAAAACCAGAGTAGACTGGTAGAATCTGAAAGACATCCGTGTGTGTGTTTCATTAGTTGTGAATGAGAACTGAAGGACAAAATTGACGTGACCAAATAGGTCAGATATGAACAGTCCACTTCTGAACGCGTTGGACCCTCAGCGACCCCGCTAGGTCTCTTCCCAGTATTCGATCATGAAGCCACCATAGCCTGTTCTGTTGGTCTTTTCACCCGTGCTGGACGTTCACGATCTGTGAATAAAATAAGACAGCAGAAACAATTCGTAGCACGAACGGCTATCAATTGAACAGTCAAGTAGGTCACGTGGCATAAACAGAAATATGATTATTAACGGCATCTATCGGATACTACTCTTTTTCTTATACAGCTAGCTCCTGAGGAACAATCATCTCTCCGTTACAGACCATCAGATCAAATCGAAACACTTGATTCTGGCATTGCACTGCTGCCACTCAGCTTAGAATAGTGTCCAGTTCATTAGGATTTGATACGATTTACAACTCTCTAATTCTTGGGAATAGGGTTGCACAGTCATATGACCCAAGAACGCACGCCTTGGGAACAATGTGATTGATCTCCCCCTTCCCCCAATGCTTCACCAAATTAGCGTAGACTGTGATAAGTTGTCTGAACCAGCACGTCTAACTGTCTACCAAAACGCACCAGGTGACAAGCTAGAATCAACCCCACTCGATGACGTTAATCAGTACTGGTCGCTTATCAAGAATGCTCTGCAACCTGCTGGCTTGATTAGTTTTGGTCTGACACGTCGTGCCACGACACCCTGGATCTCTGCGGAGTCTCTACGCCTTCTTGACGCACGTCAGTCAAGTCCGACCGGCAGCGAGAATAATGAAATACGATGAGCAACGAGATGTGAACTTAACGCAAACCTACACAGAGACCGCGGGATCTGGTGGACTCATTGCACGTCAGAGATGGAACGTTCTGTCGCAATAGGTAATTCCCGTAAGTTGTTCCATCTCATCCGGGTCACCGGTAAGAATGCCTTGGATGTGACTGAAACGATCTGAGAAGCTGACGGCTAGCCCATTCCAAATCAACAGCGCGATGGGCGGTGCACTTCAAAGCACAGTTTAGCTGGCCACCAGCGTCAACTTCTCATACAGCTATTTCGGCACGCGTCCCAAGGTCGATCTCAACAGACCCACCTTCTGAGGTGGAAATCCGTAAGGAGATTCAAGCCTTGGGACGGAACAAAGCGAAGGGCTCCGATGGCCTTCCCTCAGCTCTATTTAAAGATGGTAAAATAAACCTTGTTAGAGAATCGGTGACTGTTCTATAAGTTATGGCACACTGAATAGGTCCTCTTCTCGTAGACGGGGGGGGGGTAATCCATTGTCGTCCCCATCTTTAAAAACAGCCCACCAATCATAGGGATATAAACCGGATAGTCACTCTGTAAAAGATGTAACCGCACTACGCCGCCTCCGATGGCTTGGTCACGTTTTGCGTATGCCTACCTATCGTCTACCCTTCTGTGCTATTTTTGCACGTGCCGAGCAAGGGTGGAAGAAGCGCCACGGCAGTCAGACCATGACATGGTGTAGAGGTATGAAGAAGCTGGCTTCAGCTTTGGCTTCGGTTGGTGCAGCCCGTCTTACAGGTTGCGGCCCGAGGGATGAGGATTGTCGTTGGTTAGAGACTCTGAGAGATATGGCCCAGAATAGAAGTCAGTGGCGCGAATGCTGTACGGTCTGCCCGTCGAAATCCCATGCCCCGTAAAAACAACGAGCAACACAAAAAAAATTCAAAAAGTGTACGGTGAAATACAAAAAGAATGCTGGTATCCCTTTTATCTACTGTTTTCCACTGCAATTATTTAATCTTTTCTTGCACTTCGTTCTGCATCCCAATCAACCCATCTGTTTGTTATTATATATATATATATATATACATAGAGAGAGAGAATAAATTTTAAANAATAGTGCTCAACCCTCGATTTTTGTGGTTTCTAGTAGCCTTCGTCAGTTATCATTAAGCTCGCTATGGTTACAAACAGTGATCGCGTAGGAAAGTATGGGGTAACGATTATTCACATTAGAGCCACACATTTACTCCACCGATTTAGGTTATGATACGTATCCCTTGGAGTTTCTCACCACCACTATTGAGAATCTCTCAGGTAACGGTCGGATGGTGGAGGACGATGTGTAAGACACTACGCAGTTGTTCCGCCTCAGCTCAGCTAGTACACAATTACACGATTAGGTAAATAATTTAATCATTTGCAACATGCACGTGGTCGATCTGTCGTTAAATAGGCCGAAATGTGAGAACACAAGCAGCCTGTGATAACGAATAGATTAGAAAGCGTGGGTGAAAGGCGTACGCTACCTTTTCCATACACTAATTCACTGAGTGAATATCACGATGCTTCTTTCGGCTAAACCCGTCAATCGCAAACAGACATCGACAGGGAGGCATGCGTAGGAACGTGTCCAAGCGATCGGAGGTGCAGTGCAAGCACTTCGGCTGCAGGATGAACACCAGTATTAAATACACCTTGTCCGCCCGTGTCATCACCCAGGTGAGCTTGGCACGAGATAC